TCAAAGTTTTCAAATCATTTTCATTAGTTTTCCTTATATTTAATACCATGTGCAATATAATATATATATATACACGTAAAGAAAGGGGGAATGAAGGAAGAAGAAAAGGCCAGAATTTGCGGCATGGTGACTGGTCTTTCCCGCCCCTATTTAAAGGCATCTCAATGGACACAAAGTCATGAACTAATCTCAATTTACGTTTCGGAAAAGAAAAAAAACTTAAGTACCAATGGCAATGAGATTATCATTAAGCATCTTCATCTCTCTCCTTGTAATACTGGGCAGTAGTATTAGAAGTAGCGTCCAAGTCCTAGCTGCAGGCAACCCTAATTACAGAGAGGCCCTGGCAAAGTCCATACTCTTCTTCCAGGGACAAAGATCAGGGAGGCTCCCCACCGGCGCTGCCCAACAAATCACATGGAGGTCCAATTCTGGACTCTCCGATGGTCGTCAGGCATATGTAAATATGCTGTACTTGTATATTTAGTTACTGCATTGTGTTTTGATTTATATGATTTTTTTTTTTAAATTAAGTTCACTAGAGATGCTCAATTTCTGGAATATTAACTTACCTCTCATGCATGCAAACCTATTTTCACTATTTGTAATGTGGTCTCTCTGTAAGTTAGGGAGGGAAGGGAAGATGATGATACAATCAGCCGCACATGTGAGAAATCCAGTAAGTAGTAATGTGGTGGATGGGTGGCAAGGCGGCGGGAACTTTAAAAGGCTTAACTGTGTTTTTAGGTTAAAGTGATTTTATTGATAAATAATAACTTTTAATAAATTAAGACATTCACCATATATATTAAAGTGACGTGAAACGTATAAATATGCTCTTACATCATGTGATTTAAAATTTTGATTTGAAAGTATTGCTTCAATGGATAATGCTTGGAGTATCACTATCATCAACTGATTTTGTGCTAGCTATATATGTGCAAAGTTGATAAGCTAGGCATATGCAAATTATACGAACAAAAAGAAAAGAAAAATATGAGTGCAAATAAAACCTTCCGAATTTCAATATAATTTTCTTTGATGGTATATGCATATCCCAAGAAAGCTTATGGTTTAAGCTTCATTTTACTAAAGTTGGGAGCTCAAATGATTTCTTAACAAAAAAGGTAGATGTAAAAGGAAAAGGAATAGTGGATGTAATGAAAACAAGCTCTTTGATTTTCCTTTTTTCTTTTTATCTACTATGTTTGTACAAAATAAAATTATTTTAACATGTGTATTGTATTGGTATCTCAAATTAATCACGCGATGCATTGTTATATATTGTAAATCTTTTTTACATAATAATGTGTAATTGATTTGAGATATCGGCACATCGATGATATCGTATTATAAAAAAAGGTCGATTCCTTTTAAAATTATAAAAAGTCAGGAACGATATATTATTTTGTGTCTCGAGTACCAAATATTATTGTGTCAGACAAAAATTTGGGGTTGGAGACTAACATGAACATTCTACCTATATGAAAATATTTGCATCAATTTTTGCAGGTGGACTTAACTGGAGGATACTATGACGCTGGAGACAATGTCAAGTTCAACTTCCCAATGGCATTCACCACCACAATGCTGTCATGGGGAGCACTTGAATATGGCAAGCGCATGGGCCCTCAGTTACCAGAAACCCGCGCGGCTATCCGGTGGGCCACAGATTACCTTATAAAGTGTGCTAGGCAAACACCCGGCAGACTCTATGTTGGGGTCGGTGACCCTAATGTAGACCATAAATGTTGGGAGAGGCCCGAAGATATGGACACTACCAGAACCGTGTACTCAGTCTCACCAAGCAACCCGGGCTCGGATGTTGCTGGAGAGACAGCCGCTGCATTAGCGGCCGCTTCTTTAGTTTTCCGGAGGGTTGACCCAAAATATTCAAAGTTGCTGCTCAACACGGCCAGGAACGTGATGCAATTTGCAATTCAGTACCGAGGTGCATACAGTGATTCCCTTGGGTCTGCAGTCTGCCCATTTTATTGCTCGTATTCTGGATATAATGTAGGTCACATATTTATCCTTACTATATTTTGCGTTACTTTTTTATTTGTTAATTTATTTCTATTTTTGTCGACTTTTGTTTATTTATTGATCTTTCTACTTTGGTGAAAAAATAATAATTTAATTTCAGGATGAGCTGCTGTGGGGAGCTGCATGGCTTTTTAGAGCAACTAATGAACTTTATTATTACAATTTTATAAAATCCTTGGGAGCCAGTGATTCAACGGACATTTTCAGCTGGGACAACAAATTTGCTGGTGCTTATGTTTTACTATCAAGGGTAAAATTCCATACTCATCATCAACATCTTTCCACCTTATTATAATAGAATTTTTCTATCAGGGGCCCACTTGATAACGATTCATTTTTAGTTTTAATACTTTGTTTTAACTTTAAAATGATAAAGTGATTTATTTATTTCTAGAGAGCACTGTTGAATAACGACAAGAATTTTGAGCCATATAAACAAGAAGCTGAGCAATTTATGTGTCGGATTTTGCCGAACTCACCCTCTTCAAGTACTCAATATACACAAGGTAAACATAGTTGTTTTCACTATTGGTTTCATCACTTCAACCAAGTCTCGGCCTGCCAAAATCTCAACAAGTATAAAATAGTTATCGTGTATTTTTCCTCCCTTGTTTTTCCGTTACAGAGGAGTGTAAAATACATTTTTTCCTAACCATGCATAACCGTTTAAAATATAGGAGGGCTCATATACAAGCTGCCTGGAAGTAACCTCCAATATGTGACCTCAATAACATTCTTGCTTACTACCTATTCCAAGTACATGGCTGCTAGAAAGCTCACATTTGACTGTGGTAACCTCGTTGTCACTCCGATGGCCTTAAGAAACCTTGCAAAACAACAGGTACATCACTTAATCTTGCGTGACAATGTCGTACTGTAAATTTGTACAAATGATCATGTTAATTACGTCCGAGTGTTTACTTACAATTTCAATGGGACATGATACTTAAGTCTAGCAAAAAATAATTATCGTATAAATAGACAGATACATTTGTGATTTTATATAGGGGCTGATATTTTATTGAAATTTTTAGGTGGACTACATATTAGGGGTAAACCCTCTGAAGATGTCCTACATGGTAGGGTATGGCCCCTACTATCCCAAGAGAATTCACCACAGAGGATCCTCATTGCCTTCATTGACAAGCCATCGCCAGAGCATAGGTTGCGATGGTGGTTTCCAACCATTCTTCTATTCGCTAAACCCAAATCCCAACATCTTAGTTGGAGCCGTTGTTGGAGGTCCAAACCAGAACGATGGATTTCCAGATGATCGCGGCGATTACAGCCATTCGGAGCCTGCAACGTACATAAATGGCGCTATAGTAGGACCCTTGGCATTCTTTGCAGGGAGCTATAGAAGTTGAATGGGGACCTCATTAATCAGGGGGTTTATATCACTTGTAGATAACTATCTATTTCTGTTGTTCCCGAAGGGAAAGGGTGGTCTATCTGTATGATATATCTCACCACGAAATGGAAGGGATATTTCTGTGTGTTTCTGGTTTCCTAGTTTGATGTGGTATTTAGATGATGGTCGTAGTTGAAAAATTAGATGATGATCTCAGGCTCACAAAGAGGAGCAGCTTGTAAGATCTAATTAAGCTTTTGGATTTTCATGTGTCAGACTCAGTGTCAAAGACCCTGCGTAAAGTGGGAGCCTTGTGCACTGGATACGACCTTTTTAGACTCAGTGTCAAAGAGTTTCTCTTCCTTCTCTATTTGGTTCCGTTTCTTTTTCTTTCTCTATATAGTCATAATGTTCGGATCAAACCAATTTTATAATTTTAGAGAGATTATTATTGTAGTTAAAAAAAAAACATATTGACTTAGTTATCCATAATAAAAGTTACATGGAAAAAAAAATAACTACATCAATAGTGGAGCGTGTCATTTTTTAAGATATAACATTGAAAAAAAAAAAGACGCCTAATTTTTAAAAGCTAGTGCATGTATGTATGCATTGGTCTCTTTGATACTTCTCTTTCTAAGTAATCGGGGGGTTGGTATGTATTTTCTCCTTTCTTAGTTGGATTGGGGGGATTAGATGATCTGAACTTCTTAATTCAAGAATTACCATCAAGATGGACAGAGCCATTGGAGGCGAATCAGATACTTTCCGGATAACTCCCCAGAAGTTTGAGAGGAAGAGCGCGGCCGACGGAGAGTCCAATCGACACCAACACAGCTTCATTTTTACCATGATGAATATCATCCTTTACTCCAGTCTTCAACTCCTCAGTTCTGCTAATGCTCTGACTACTACTACTCACATGAGCCAAAGAATCCGAACTCGAATTCTCATCGTAACCATCCTGAATCAATTTAATCTTCTCTCCTTCCTTAACAATCGACTGACTTGTTTCATCGCCGCCGCGCGAACTCAAAATAAGCAAAACTTGCAACATATTCAATTTGAAGTCCAATGCGCTAGCAAAAAATTTAAACTGCCATAGCCATCGTGATACAGGCATCCGCGATACCCCATATCACCAGGGAAACAGAAGAAATGGTTAGCAAACGTAAGTTGAGAATCATATTTGGTTGCACTACTTTACTCGTTGAATAGGTGCATGAAAGCAAAGCCAAAACAAATTTTCTCAACTAAAATTTTCAGATATCACGCATACCTGTTGAGATCGGAGTCTTGTCCGATTGGCGTGAAGTCTAGACCTCTCTATCCCATAAAGCTTTGCACACAACACCTTAAGTGCCTTGGCTTTGTTCTACACAACACCATAAACTTGCCCATCTGTGATGTGTGTGTATATGTTGCTCAGCTCAGCCATGGCTTAACCACCTCTCCTCTGACTCTCTCAATTTTCAAATTTTATTTTTAAAACAAAACTATAATTTTCAAAATCGGTTTGCTATCCGATTTCGACAAAAAAAACCGAACCGATCGGAACCGGATGCACCTTTAGTGAGATTCACTAACACGTTGGGTCCAAACCTTTGACTGAGCAAGAGGCCCATCACGACATGTCGTTTCATCCGAAGCCCAGATTGTTTTCTGGGGTTTTGGGGTCTTGAACCCTCGGCTTCCTCCTCCTCTTTCTCGTTTGCAAATCTCTCAAAATTCTCAACGTTTTTCCACCGTTGCCTGGTAAGCTCTTAATTTTAATTTCACTTTCTGAACTCGATTTCCATTTTCATTGGATTTCTTCATCTGGGTATATCTACAGACTTCAAATTTTTTATTCTTCTAAGCTAATTGGTGGATTGTTCAATCTGGATGGTTGTGTTCTCTGCTGCAGTCTCATTATATATTGACAATTGCAATGTCTCGACTTGCAGTATTTGGAATTTTCGTTTTTGTTTGTGATCCGAATAGAACAAATATATATTTTCATTTCTTTAGCTTGATCTGATTGTCTGATGTTCAACACTTGATTTTGTAATTTGGTGAATTTCAGATTGTTATCTTCTACTTTGGTTGTGGACTTAGTTGTTTAGAAAGGTAATGGGAAACACGCACTGATAGACCCATTAAGTGGGTTCGACTCTACGAATCTAGAAGGTCACTGTCCTCGGTTTTGCACCAAATTTTCCGTTAGCTCCAAGTACTCCATGTATTTTCTTAGAGTCTCTTTCTAAGTCTTCATCAACCCCTTTTCCCTGAGCCTCTACCTCATTATCGCATCTTCTAACTAGAGCATATTCACATGTCCACACCACCTTAACCGTATTTCTCTCATCTGATCTCTAATTGCGGCCACTCCTACTTTACCTCGATTATCCTCGTTCTTAATTATGTTCTTTCTCGTGTGCCCACCCCACACATCCAACAAAGCATTTTCGTCTCTACTACGAATGCTTAATAAGAAATAGTACTTAAGGGACACTAAGTAGTCAATCAAGGGGGACTAATCGTGGTTTATATTCGGCTTATTGTTGGTGTGATGTTTCTATTTTTGATTCGGAGTTTGTAACCGGTTGTATTTGTGGGTGTTTCTCAAAGATAATCGGTGCTGATTAACATGCTCACATTATTCTTCTGATCGTGTTAACGTGGTATTGTAATATAGATGGCTATTCAGTCAGGGTGCTCCAGTTTCGAATCCAATGTATAAAGTCTCTGTTGTATGTTCATTGTTGCAGTGATTTCGATTGCGAAATAGCGTGTAAACATTGAGGAATGGCAACCGAGGAAAAGGGAGAAGAATTGCAACAAACCACAAGTCCCCAAGATGCTGCCGGTTTGAGAGGAGCTGTGGAAGCAAAGTACCGGCAAATCAAAGAGCATGCAGAGACCTACCCTTATGTTTGGGCTTCCTACATTGTTGTATACGGTGGTTTTGCTCTCTGGGGTACCTACAGATGGAGAAGGCTTCGCAAGACTGAGGATCGTGTACGTGCCCTTCAGGAGAGATTACGCAAACATTATGCAGCAGAAGAGGCTTGTGCTAGCTCTTCCACCCCAGCTGTTAAGGTTCCACCATCTGCTGATAAAATCTCCAACTAGTTAGAGCATTGATCAATGCTTTTCAGGTTTCCTGCAACCCGATAAACAAAAGTTTGCTTCAAGTATGAACACAGATTGCTTGGGACTTTCTATGGACGAGAATTGAATCCAAATGTGTCGTATACGTAGGTTAGGGTGAAATGTTAGTAATTGATACTTCTGATCAAAACTTATGTAAACAGCTTCTTATGCTAATTTTGTGACACTTGACAGTCATTTTATCCGATAGTGATTGCATTCATGTCAATACACAAGTCCGCAAAATAATGTAAAGTGAGCTTCGCAACGATGTGTTATATTTGACGGCAATTTGTTGCAGCGTGGCTCACGGTTCTTGTAATAATATTGTTACTTTATTAAATAATTTTTGTTTCTTAAATGTGAGCTCTACATTTGCCACATCAACACTTAACTGTCAATCTCGCAGATTGACTAACGATTGTACGATACCGGTGCAAAAGGAAGAGTTGTCATATGAAATTGAAAATTTTGAAAGATGTATTGGCTTTGGAATTGGACAAAAACTAAAGACAAAATGTAAATTATTCTGTAAAATATCTTTTGTCAGCTGAAAAGGAAAATAAATAAATTGATCACGTATCCGGTCGCACGAGGAATAAGTTATTATTTCTTAGTTTGCCAGTCCCAGGCAGTTTGCAAACTTTCAAGACTTTAATAGTTTGATTGCATTTCCGTGTCAAGATAGCATAAACAATCTTCATGGAGAACCTGCACCATCAAGTTCAATATAACAGCTAGGTTTCAGTGCTTCATTCACATACCACTCGTGACTCGACTCGTAAAAACACACATTCAAATTCTTTTGCATACACATAGCACGATAACATGAATCATCGTATGACATGCTATATTTTAACTGGAAAAGCACCATGCCTCATGCGATTGACAACTAGGGGTGGGTTGGAAAACCCGAAAACCGAAAAAAACCCAAACCGAAAAAAAAACCAAATCAAAGTAAGAAAACTGAACAGAACCGAAAGTTATTGGTTCGATTTCGGTTTCAATGATTCAAAAACCAAATCAAACCGAGCCGAACCGAATTAAATATAATTATATTTATTTATTTATTTAATATTTAAATGTTTATATTCCAAGTCCAATTTAAATTTAGACCCTAAGTTTTAAGCTTTTGTTTTAGGCCAACCATTAACCCATAATCCAAGTCATTTTTCTTCTCCCCACCCAACCCTCTTCTTTCTTCCAATTTGTTCTCCCCATCCGACCTTCTGCTTTCTTCCTTTTTTTCTTTCTCCCCACCTGACCCTCCCCGCATATTTTTTTTCTCTTTGTTTCTTCTTGCATCTTCTCTCTCTTTTTTTTTCTTCCTTTACTTTCTTTGAAATGGAAAAACTGTTAGCAAAACTGTAGAGCATAGACCAAATTTCAAATTTAAAAATAAAAATAGAAATTAAGTTTTATAAAAAAACCGAACCAAACCGAAGTTGAGCCGAAAAAAACAAAACCGAAATTAAACCGAACTGAATAAAAACCGAAAAAAAATGAACCAAACCGAAAAATTTTATTTTTGACAAAAAACCGCGCTGATTGAAACCGAACCCACCCCTATTGATAACACCACCCTGCCTCTTATTTCCGTTGATAAGATATTGCCCCTCGTACCAAACAGCCAGTGTTTCTCACTAGCATTCTATCATTCTTCTGTGATAATCATTTATACGAGAGAAGCATAGCATGTAAACGATACTTCTCCCAGTGATATAAACGTGCACATGTTATGCACGGGTAAAGGGCGTGCTTGTCTACCGTTCTACATAATCCTCTTCTGATTACGATGGTATGCATGAGCACATTTAGCACACTGATGTGAACATGCATGCTTTGACATCCAAAATCAACAATGCCACATCAGATTTTACAGCGTCCAGTCACTTGATCAATCTGCAATGAGCACACGGCCAACCCCACTTAGTGGGAAAAAGATTTTTTTGTTGTTGTTCTGTTAGGAAGTGGCGCCATGCCACCAGCAGCGCAAGAGAGGAAGGAGAAAGAAAAATGCTAGAGAACCCACGCATATGCTCCACATTAAGGGCTCATTTGGTATGTAAGATTGGAATGGAATGAAAAGCTGCCGACCTCAAGGCACGTAGAGGGGAGAAGTGAAAAACCTATGACCAACTAGAGGGTACAACAAATATACAGCCCATATGAGAAACCGGATCCTTTACTATTAATTTGAATATAAATACTAAGTAAACAACCTAGACGCTTAAACCCCAAACAAAATACACTCAGAAGCAGCAAAAAACTACCAAAGGATGCTATTTCAACAGGAATTCCCTTCTAGACCTAACTGCTGTGTAACCAATGAAGCATTTCGTATACGGAAACTCTCATATCCAAAACCTACAGAAACGATACCACAACAGCATCAAGGAGCTTACAGTTCCTTAATGCTGCTGTGGTAGTGTTTCTGTAGGTTTTGGAGGTTACAGTGCAGTCACTCAAAAAACTGGAGCACCTTTTGAGAAAAAAAAATATGCGTCTACTGTAATGTAGCCTTCATATTAGTTCATTAAAACACAGCCTCGACATTAGTCCTTGTTAACAATCAAAATACAGAGAATGGGAGCAGCAGAAATCTAAACTCAGTTACTCTACGTCTAATTAACACACTGTAACTACTTTGCAGAGCATAAAGCTACGGAAAAGAAAAAAAATTCACAGATTGATCAAAGCACAATGAGACATGCCATTGCTTTTGAAAGTCTCAGTGAGTTTTGTAAAGTCAATTGGTCCACAAGTCAGATCATACACCAACCAGCAAATATCTAACAAGCATCATTGCGTTCTATAGAGAAAATACACACTACCAATACAACACAATATGGGATCACTGTTTATAGATATTGGGCCCACATGCATGAACATGGAGTGCATATATATGCACAGCAAACCAAATTACCTCTCCTACAAACTCGTTATTTAGAACACAGTGTACAAGTCTCACAATCTAAATGGAACTCCATCAAACTTTGATTAAAATGTCAACGATTATATACAAGAACTAAGAACAAATATGAAAAAATAACATGAAATAAAATCTAACATTAAGAAGATATTAATGTAAAGATGTTTTGAAGGGGTTTTTTTAACAAATCATCGAATCCCAAAGTTCAGTGTCAGTGTTCTGAAGATAAGCATCGTACTATTAAATAATGAAACTACAACTACAGCAAACAGAACTACCACTTCTCAAGTCTAAACATATGAAGCACAACAAATATACATACCTGAGTACACCTATGAATTAGCATAGTGAGCATTGACAAAACAAACTAGCTTACTTCCATTTACCCATTAAATACCCCAACGCGAAGTAGACTGAAGTGGATAATTTACCAGAAGTATTACCCATGGAAAAGGTCAGATACCTATTCATCTTCGTATTAAATTCTAGTAAGAAGGATAGGAGATTGGGTTGCTCATATCATAGCGGCGTGACCTAGTGCGACTAATGGTATCCAGTGTTGCCCCAATAACTCTTCGACTATAATCGTAATTGTTGCCATTGAAATGTAATCCATACCCATTAGATTGGTTATTTACACCAGGGGGAGTGGGCTCTGAATAAAAAAGAATGTTTCAGCAAGTATGAAATAATCAAAACAGCCGGTAGAAATTTTGACTTAAAAAATAAAAATAAAAATAAAAAAACAGAAACCCAAGGAAATGAAACAAAAGAAGAGAGAAAACACATCACCTGGGGGATAGTCTGAAATTCTGGGTGTCAATATACCCACGGAATTCGGAGAGTTTTCCATACTGTTAATTGGTACAGGGGTGGACCTCAGTTTGTGAGGAAAATTGTGTGTGGATGTCACCATAGAAGTAGTATTATGCGAGGGCTTGTCTTGCCCAGAGATCTGTGAGCCAAAAACCATGTGTCAGTGTCAAGAATCTTAATAAGTTAAATATCCTGCAGAGAAAAAGCTGCAAATGCTGGTCTGCCGCCAATCACATAAAGGCACCCCACATAGCATGAGCTAACAATAACATTACTGCCTTTGGATCATAACGGCAACAACGAAAATAATCAGGTTGGTTTGGTGAAATGAAAGAAATATTCCAGACAATTAGCAGAGAGAGCGTCAAGGTATCGGAGACGCTAACATGCTATATAACTCTAATTTCACACAACTTATCAAAGCCAACAAGGAATTCAACACAGCAAAAGAACATCACGGAAGCATTTGAAGGGAGAGAAACAAGGTACCGCAAACTTGAGTGTCCGGTTGTAGAGAGTGACAAGACCAGTGAAGAGCCTAACAGCATAGTCAGCAATCTCCTCAGATTCATATTCTGCGAAAGCAAAACCTTTAGGCTTATCGGTTTCTTTGTCTCGCGGAATGTGCAGGTCTACCACCCTCCCTGCCTGAATGAGAATATCATACAAAACTCTATCACTCACTCGCTCGTCCAAATTACCTGTTACAATAAAACTCATCTAATCAGGCATATCACGATCAAACTTTATATAAACAAAATAAACGCAGAGGGGTACACCAATTATTCTGAAAAGTTAATTCCTCATCAAATATAAGACAAAACAATTCCCTGCAAGATTCATTCAGCAACAAAACCTTTCAAACTAAATTCTAAATTTGGGAAATTTTCAGCGACGCCCAAAACCACAATTTTAACCACACTGTTTTTAAATTTATTTAGGGACTTTGAGCTACTAACAATTTTCCTTGAATTGAATAAATCAGAAGCAAATATTGTGCGACGAATTAGAAAGAACGGAAGGATGACAGACCTATGTAAACGCTGGATTTTGAGTGGGTGGACATGGTGGATTTGACTTCCGCAGATCGGAGGAGGAACCCTAGCTCGAACGACGCAGTAAAGCCGCAGACAAAAACGACCTTCCGCTTCTTCGTTTGAAGAGACTCTGCTTTATATAGTCAACTACAGTGAAATCTGAGATTACCGACTCTGATTTGGCGTCGGATTTCTGATTGCAAATTTGCAACCGTTGAATTTCCAGTCTGTAATACTCAATGACACGTCGTCTTCTCCTTCCTTCCCCGGGAAAGGAAAAGACACGGTTGGGCCACTTAATTCAGCAATTTTCTTTCGGTACATAGGTGGGCCCAAGGCCCAACAAAACCAAATTAATACAATTCAATGATACGTACCATTCAATGATACGAGTGTTTTAACCGTTAAATTTAATTTAAAATTTTGTTAAATCTTTTATTTTTAAACACAACAACTGTTTATTTTTTGAATCATTTGAAAAACAATGCAGAGTCGTCACACAAACAACGGTTAGTAATCGAGAAGCACTCAAAATGTAGAACAAACTAACGAAGCAAAGCATTTATTATGTCACAACCTCTAATTGGTAAGGCAGCTTCAAATTTAAATTCAACTTCAAACTCTTCTTCCGTGCTAATGTTCACATCAACGACTTACATCATCACCTAGTATTTTTGTGGGTGCAAGTAGCAAAAGGGTATACTAGAGAAGCTATTGCAGCAGCCGAAAATACAACACTAGTTGATCTAATAAGAAAGAAAAGAGGCGCTTTTTCCCTTTGTCAGTTTGTCCTATTGGCTTGAGATGAGTAAGCCCTGTGAAGCTTAATTGGATCAACCCATCCCTTGCCTCTCACTACAGTTTATCAACATTTGTATCCTGTCATTGCTTCCCCCTACTCTTCCCTACTGGCACTTTTTGGCAATCAATACCCAGTGAGTACTATTCCATCTCTTAACTTGTCATTTTTATTCGAAATGTGGGATAATAATGACGTATTTTGTTTGCGGTTTTGAAGGGTGGTGTGCTCGACCAAGACAAGATTCTTCCTTTGAGAAAGGAAATTACTGCTGTTGGTCTCTGCAGTCTCAAAAATGGAGTGCCGGAAATCGAGTCTTGCAAGGATCTTTCCTATTTTCTGTAAGTTGGGTTTGTTCTCGAGTCTGCTCGCTTGAATCTTTCCTATTACAGCTGCATATTCTTTAACTGATGTTGGTATCTTTTGCACGTTCGAGATGTCCAAAGATGAGATGGTTGCAGATCTTACACCACAAACAAACGCACTATCCTGAACTGGGGTTTTGCTTGGTACAATTTCATTTGGAGTCCTCGGCTATGCTTTTTCCAGGTACGATATGAATTTGACTTCAAACGTTAAAAGTTTTGTGCTCCATTCTGCTTGTGATTCCCGACCGCGATTGGAAATGAGATTCAATAAATTGATATGCAATTACCGTTTCAGGAACTGGAATAAGTGGAAAGTGTGGAGGCTACAGAGGCAAATACAGCAATCAATCCATGGCACTGACAGCAACGCCGAAGCTCAAATTCAAGAAGAGGAGGATGCAGGATATTCCAGACGGACAGTTGACGAGGAGACGGGATAAGCATTTATTCCTTGAGGGCACCTAGTTTGTTGCCGGCCACGTAGCATATCAGTCGGCACAAAATCCTCATTTCAGCGGGAATATGAGTCTTAGGCTCTTAGCCATCAGTAATTTCGTAGTGTTAGGAAAACGTATGCATAGAAACATAATATATATGATCAAGTTCCATGATTCAGTGATTGTACACATATTGGAAATCAAAAGGAGAACAAACGAAGATTACTCCTCTTCCCTCACTCACTCTACACGCACGAGTCATGGAGACAAGCTGCGGCGCCATCAAGGTGAACAAGTTACAGCTTGTATAACGGTGGTTAAGAAGTCAATGGTGGAGGGGAGTGCAAGTTGCTTGAAAGTGATCCAATAAGTGCTTTCATTCCAATTCCAATATAATGGCCCTAATTTGCACAAGTTAGCAAGTTTTATGCTGACTGAAATTTGATGTCAACGATTTTTGGCACTACTCTTGCATCTTGATTTAAAAAGTTCAAGCAGACTCCACCAGTTGATGCACTTATTTAGGCCTTCAAGAACAGAACAATCTAGAAAACAAGTAGCCATGACATCCCTGCACGATATCAAGCAAAGCAACAGTTTGGCATGCTTCCTCAACAGGACGGTCCTTCCATTGATTCAGTATAGCTTCGGCAACTGGACCAATCTGATGCTGCAGTACTGCCGCACCAAGGGGTCCTACCAAATTGAGCCTCGTCGCAGCAGAAATAACGTCTCTCATTGTAATGAACATGTAAGCCCTTTGAGAAGTAGTGCTATCCAACCCAAGCAGTCCGCATATAACCCCAAACAGAGGAGCATGGTGAAAAGAAACAACACCAGTACTCAAACAAGCTTCCCTCATAGATTTAAGATACGGTATTTCTGAATACACAGATGCAGCCACCCTCATCAGTGCCGACCCTTGTGCAATTGATGCCTTTCTACTCACTTCATTAGTCAGCATTGCATCCAAGATTTTGTCGAGTCTACGCCTGGTCTCCGAATCAGGTGATACTGTTGCAGAATACACAAAAGGAAGCAGTAAGCTTCCAGCGTTCTCCAACAGATGTATTATGAAAGTTTGGAGATCTTCAGGACCGGAGACTATGCGAGCTTGGATTGCAGCCTCAAGACCAAAAGAATGAGCAAAACCGCCAGTTGGGAGAATTGAATCGAGCAGTTGCCATTGGCTCCACTGTAAGGAGGAGTCCGATGAAGCACGTTTTTTGGTTTCTCTGTCTACGTCCATAGGATCTGTTGGGAGGTCAGATTCAAGCAGTGACCATTGATTCTGCTGCAAAAGAGAGCCTGATGAAGCACGTTTTTTGTTTTCTTTGTTTCCGTCTATCTGATTCTGATCCTCCATTTCGAAAAGATGAAACCGCTCTGCTTAGAGTTAGAAGAAAACACCAAATGCTTCAATCAAAACAATAGCACTGTTTATTTTCTTCTTCTATTTATCAATTGACATCACTTGGTACAATAAGGTTTATGCGTGTAGGGATGCTCATGATGAATGACAAATCTACGACGACTAAAATGAAAAACTTAAAACGCACATAATCATAAATGTCTTATGCTTTTCATCATCTGCTCAAACACATTAGTCATGAATTTCAGTAGCATTACGGCCTCGTTATTACTTCTTCATGGTTCAGAATCTACTCTATTTTACTGAGGGAGGGAGAATCAAACTCGGAACCTCGAGTTCATGCTCATAAACAAATGATCTACAATCCCTTCAGGGCCTTTACTGTTCAGAATCTAATCTGTACTACATGGTAACTGTTGCATTACATACAAGATTATCTAATATAGGCAATGCTCTTAAACTTGAGGTAAATTAATAATTTAAATAAAATTGAAATACATACGTACACACACGCTGCCTTCCGATTCAGGAATCCCTCAATTTATCATCACTCTGTCCCAATTCGGCAGCGGCCTGGAATTCAGGAGCAAAAATTAGGAGCTTGCTCCCTATTCAAACCATATGGAAAAACAGAAGAAGAAGAAGATTTTACCTCTTTCTAATAAGCTGAAAGCTTCAGATTTTTCTCCATTTTTCATGGTCTGCGTGTCCGTCTGATAGGAACACGCAAACTTCTGAGAAGCTACTTTGGTTCCTCTATCCGATCAAAGTCCTAGGGGGGCTACTTGGGTATTGAGAATTGAGATAGAGTTGGAAACAAAATCGACCAACCGGCCGAACTGACCCCAACCTAAATAAAAAAAATAAAAAAATAAAAAAATAAGAATGTTGAACCGAACCAAACAAGTTTAGAATCAGTTCGTCTCTGGTTCATTTTTCTGAACCGGTCTAACCGAATCAAATAACTATTGTCTTCCTGTAAGTGGGTACATGATGAGTAGATTTTATATTATATATTTAACCATATTCTTAGTATATTTTAGTTATTATCTTGGAAGAATTTTGATACTTTGAATTGTATATTCAATATAGAACTTTTGAATAAATGATCAAATATATGAATTTTAGAGTAATTCCAGTTGGAGAACGTTTGTGAGTCACTTGGTTTGATTATGTTAAAATTTGGAATTTTTCTACCAATGTGATTTTCTAGCAATATAATAAATGAGCATTGCGCGGTGCTGAAAAACTGACGTTTTGGGCTTGAATTGTTTTTTTGGAGCCTAGGCTGACCTCTGATGGGTTCGTGGCCTTCTGGAGATGTGTTCAGAACATTCCGATCTTTAAAATGAGCTACTATGGGCTGGATTTGAAGGATATTTGAGGCTAAAATGTGACTGGACAGTTACCTGGCAGATTCTCCTAGTTTAATTAGGACTTTATTTTATAAGATATTTTATTATTATTTGGTTTCCTAGTTGGAACAAAAGACTAATTTTTAGGGATTGTGCGATGGTTTAGGATGGGGATTTAAGGTTTTGGCCAGCCACAGTTTTTCTACCTTCTCTTTTATGCGACTTTGAAGACAGAGAAATTGGCTAGGGTTCTTGAACATTTTCAGACTTTTACTTTAAGGTGTTTTCATTCATTTTCTTCATAATAATATTTTCTATTATTTTAATTATGAATATGCGTAGCTAATCCATTTTGCTAGGGTGAAACCTTGAGTCTTAGTATGAATATGTCATTTTTAGTTAATTGTTTATGATTGATTGCATGCATGTTTTGAATTATTGATCACCGTTTTAAACTATCTAATTGTTTTAATGCTTGATCACCATTAGGATCTTTAGAAAAGTAAATTGATGTAATTTTGATCAGAAGGTTCCCTGGAATTGACCTGACTTCTTGTGGTTAATAATTGTAATTTTACTTAAGATGAACACTACGTCTTAAGGATTGCATGGTTTTTCAAGGGGTTTTCATAAAACATAATGAGTCTCTTATGTTCATATTTGATCAGAACGCCCGAACCAGTGGCGAAGCTACGTGAGGGCGAGGAGTGGCGGCTGCTCCTCCCTTCGCCGGAAAACATGCCTAGGAGCGCTAGTTCAGCCCCTCCGCTCTCGTCGAAATTGAGGGTCAGGTGTTGGTTCGGTCGGGATTTGCAGACGAAGGCGTCGGATTTTCAAAGGAAGGGCGATGAGGGAGAAGGTTGGGTGGAGGGAACGAGGGTGGATTCGACGGAGGAGGGAGGTTGGAGGAGAAGGATGCGATGAGTTTGATGAAGGGCTTATGAGTTTGCAGATTTGCCATGGCAGGGGTAATGGTAGGAGAAAGGAGGTGTTTGGTTACGAAGACCCAGTATACTAACATTGCTATGTGGTCTAATTACATATAGCCACGTGTAATTTACTAAAGCCTTTAAACCTATAACCAAACATGGAACTATAACCTTGCACATATAACCAAACAGTCAATGAAATTGGGTACTCATTGTTGATTACCCAAATATTATCCTGGGAAAATATTAAATAGATAGGTATTATAATGTTATTAGGCCACCAATCATAGTGAGTAAATTGAGTACTGATTAGTCAGTATTCAAGTATTGTCCTTTTTTTTTCCTTATGACCCCACCTATTTTTTGTGATTTGTAAACCCATTTCTCTCTTCTTCTTTTTTTATTTTTTATAATTATTCTTGTATGTATTTTTTCCCTCTTTTAAGACCCCATCGTATTTATTTTAAACTCTCATATTATCTATAAATATTGTATTAATTTTAAAAAAATAATGTAAATATTGTTTACTGCTTATTTTACGATAAAAGAAATTTATTTAAATCCATCTAGGCTCCTGCCTAAATCTCGCCTAGGCGCCTAGCTGCTAGGCCTCAATCCGCTGCCTAACTAGAGCCTAACGTTTTTTAGAATCTAATCCTAACCAATTTAAGCTTCTTACATGACTTTGATATTACCGCTTACAACGCTTTTGGTAAAGAGACTGTTTTCTGTTATGAATATTGACTCAAAACTTTGTACTCTTTAATGTGAAGGCAACCGTTTCAACGAACATTGCACTCTTTTGAATTTCGCCCCTCCCCTCGGGAAATTCTGGTTTCGCCACTGGTCCGGATGGATTGCATGTTAGATATATGTCCTATGTTGGAGGTTCCAAGTAGAATATATATTAGGAAAACGTAACCTTCAAAGTGGCATTTGTAGATCATAAGTCATTGGTAAAAATACATAGGATTGCTCGGTGATGGTGGAACCCTAATGCTTTTATAAATTGGTATTTAAAACTCTTTTCTTTTATGGTATTAGTTTTGGGAAAATTTAATATTTGTTTTTAATTAAAATTCGTTTTTAATATTACCCAAATTCAAAAACCCCTTTCTCAATTTTCAGTTTTAAGTAGTTAATTAGAAATTGTTTTTACATAAATTATTAAAATAGAACTTGTGGAGAACGACTTTGCATGAGCATCTATACTACAATATCATTGTACTCTTGCAAGTATTTTATGCGATTTTAACTTGATTTGTGTAGACAGTAAAAATCCTATTAGTACATCATTAACACATTCATAAAACACACAATCTATGCTTCAAAAATACCCTGCAAACATAAGGTGGATAAATATGAGGACCTTCCATTATGTTTCAGTGTGAAAGTCCTCTTGTTTAGCTCGTAACCTTGGGTTTCATCAAATATGTCGTAGTATTTCATTAACTCGACAGTCATCGAGTTGATTAACAGACCATTCACTTTGCAAATAGTTAGTTAGTCGAGTTGTTTATACCCAAGTTTGCTACAAGTAGCAATTCAGATCTCCAAGAGGTGAAAAATTAGGTTATAATTGGTCTCATTCCAGACAACGCGAACGAGCAGTGCATTTTTATTGTTTTAAACAACAATTTTTGATCTAGGTGAATCACCTATAAGTTTGAAAGGAGAACTGTGACTCATCGCAGTGGAATTTTATTTGGATGTTTGGTTTGTGTTAAGAAAAAAAAGTTGTTTCAAGAGCATGACGATTGAAGCGGTATAGGAACTCAACTACATTGCTGTAGACTCAATTACATACTAAATAAGTAACTAGCTAATTAGCCTTGTCAGCCAGAAATATTGGCTCATCTTATCTACAAATTTAATCCGAGTAAAACTACATGAAGAAATGTCGATTAAAGAAAAAGATGCCCGCATGCCAATGGTAGAGGTGTACAACTTCACAATAGATTATAGACTCCTTTCGAAAAAAAAAATGAGGTCATTTGAAAATAATTTTGAAATGACTAAAAGATTTTTGATGAAATTGTTTTTGAGTTCCAAAAGCACTTGAAGTTAAGAGATTTTTACAAGAAGTATCAGTAATATACTTCTTGCATAAAGCACTTTAAGTATTCTTTTAAAAAATTACTTAAATTTTTATTAAGAATTGATTTAAAAAACATTCTATAAAAAAGGTCTCAATATTCTAAAAATATTTTTAAATGAATCATACAATCGTGAATATAATTTATACGCCACTCACTCTCATCGACCCCGACTCTAAAGACAGTGACGAGCAATGATAATTGATAATGCAAAACAATGTGGACACCCATTGAAACGTGGTGAGCAATATGAAGGAAACTCAAATTTAAAAAGAGTTGAAACATTTTCAGTGCATTAAAGATGAGATTACTAATTTACAGGTAGGTAGTCAATGACAAATGAACTCCTCGTGACATGTCGGCACTTGTTTTATTTTATGTTCCAATCAAACGTCGGCACTTGCAACCAAAAAAAAAAAAAAAAAAAAAAAAAAAACCCGACTAACACGGCAGGAGTTTAGTTTAGTTGAGACTTGAGACTTACGAGCGAAGGCAGCAGGGCCAGCTCATGTCATATTGTCAATGCAGCATACGTGTAAGAAAAGTACTGGCTCTGCCACGTGCCACGTACTAACTAGATTTTGGCATTGGCAATGACGTGTGAGGTTACAGCTCACCACTGACAAAACACCTAAATACCAATTAATTTGACATTTGGAACCATGGAATTGGAAAGTAATATGCAATTCATGGAGCATGAATCCCATCATTTTAACTAGCATGGAAGCTTTTCAATTAGTTTATTATCTTTAAGGAATGTTGTTATTTCTATTTCTATATTTATAAAATACTAAAAATACGTCAAATTCATATCTTTTGAGAAAATGATTCACTAACATTTTTCTTTTGTATACATTTTCTTTTAATTTCAAACGTCGTTTTCAAGTAATTTATTTATTTGATGATCATTTTTTGTTACAGAAAAAACGAATTCTAATTGTTGAATTTTGGGCTTATTGTTATAGATGCAAAAATAGAACAAAATCTAGCTTGACAAAAAATAAAAAGAAAAGGAAAATGTAGAAATTGTAACTTTATAATTAAAATCCTTTGGTGCTATTAGTGGAGTTACTTAACATATAATTAATATCTCTTTGTCAGTTTTATATATTATATTCCCACTAATACGAATACAAATACAAATAGTATCCTCCTGCCCAACAATCCCTTTTCATTCTTTTTTATTCATTCTTCTTTTCTTTTCCCTATGTTTTGCTTTTTGGTTCACGGTCGTAAATTTGTAAAAGAAAATAACAATGTTTCTTTTTTGTTATTTTATTTTTATGATGACTTACAATAAAAATAGGGATTGAAGTCTCTAGATTTCCTCGTCTGAAGTCCTCAAAATTCCCACAAATCCCAAATAGTTACTGTTTGGACAAAGGGACGCAACTTCCCTCTACTTCTCTTCTCCAAGTTCAAAAAACCAATCCAAAATCTCAACATCCCATCCAAACTTACTTTTATGTTTTTAATATATATATATATATATATATATGCCTCATTGTTTTTGTTAGGAACAAATGATATTATCTACACTAAGAGAGAGGGTAAACTTAATCTTACAATGAGTTAGCAATAATGCGATTTAAATTCGTCTCTGGCGCAATAATGCGATTCAAATTTGTCTATGACGAAAATCGAATCTAAGACCTTTGACTTACAAGTGAAAAGAATATCACTATACCGTATTACTAAGTAGCTATATGCCTCATTTTCTTTAAAAAAAAGTTATATGCCTCGTTACTCCCTGCAAACAAATCACAATTTACAAACAAAAAAAAAACGATGATTTTAATGAGTTATATGTGAATATGTGTTAAACTGTAATTTAAAAATAAGTAAAAATAAGTGGTTGAGAAGTTTTTTAGTGTGAGTCATACTGCCACATACCATTACCAATTCACTATATTATGAAATATAAATATTGTAACTTATTATCAATATGGTCCACTCATATTATAACATTTAGATTTGTAACTGTGTGATGCTTTCAACTTATCGGAAGTTTTAACGAAAAATTCACGGTACTGTTCATTTTAACGAAAAATCACATTTTTACACTAAAAAGCCAAACCTGGTACTATTCATTTTACTATTTATTTTGTCTTTATCATTAAAATTTAAAGTTTTTAAGTTATTTTCGTTAATTTTTTTTAAAAAGAAATTAAAAAATTAGAGAAGGAGAGGGAAGGATAGTGCGATTTCAAACAACATAGAAATCCAAGAGACAGCTGTGTAGAGAGAGAAACAGGAGAGAGAGAGAGGGTAAAACTTAAAAAGTGTTTTACTACGCCGCAACTATTCGGCCAAATCAAATCGAAAGCAAAACCGTTACGAGAGGAAGAGACAGACAACACGCACAGTGATATGAGGACGATGAAGTATATAAAAAGGGTGACGACGTTTAACGTTCCTCAACGCAAAGGCAAAGGCGCTGATGACAATCTCCTGAAACTACGCCGTATCAGCGCTCTGTTTCTGCTCTTCTGCTTCTTGCACGATGACTTGGAACTTCAATTCCTGATTTGCTTTCGCTAATCTCCAAAATTCCCCCACTTTCCCCCATTTTGTGTTTTGTTTTCTTCTTAATTTTGTTGATCATATCGATACGATTGCCGACTGCTTCCACCAACCCAGAAGGTCTGCATCTGCATGTGATTCTCTCCTTCTTTCTTGCTTTTTATTTGTTTATTTATAATATTTTCTTGAATAAATTTGAATTTGGATCCGATCTTTGGTTACCTACCCATTTGAAGCTGGAATTATTGGACTAAGATCTGCATACATGTATATAAATGTGTGTGTATGTATTTTGGATTTTTCTTTTTCGAGGAATTACTTGGTAGCATAAATAATTGGATTTTTATTAATTATAAAAAGAAAGATTTTTTTTTTTTGGAAATTTGATGGGCAGAACCAGGCTGGCATCCATGGAAAAGCGTTTGCTTTGGCTTGCCCCTTAATTTAGCTTAAATGGGTTTTGTCAGTTTTACTCATTTATCCGGCAGCTTTTGTAAAACAGAGCCTTGGTGACACACTGTGTTTCCTTTAGGATTAAAAGGGAGTTTTGCTTGGTTGCTAAGGTGAATTTTTCTCTTTTGGAGATTACCCTTTTCCATTTTCTCAACTGGGTGTGACTTGTATCATTTTTTTTCTCTCGGTTTTTATTGGAATTTTACCATTTAAGATTTTATCTTAACTGTGAAGGCATTTATCTTCGTTTTCAATCTAAACACCATTTGCAATCTAAGTATTTTCGATTCGCTAGAAAATGTAGAAACATGTAGCTGAATCTGCAAGTTATTGTTTTGTGATTGCTTCATTGACTTAAAATCCATTTAAAGCATCGTAACCTATTCTTTGTTTCCTCTTGTGGTGAAATGTATGTTCTTTCATTTCCTTGTTACTTTGGAGAGTAGAAGATTAATCAAATTTTGTTTTTCTTTTATGCAGGGTGTACTCTTATCTCTGGCTTTTTAGCAGTTAGTAGTGGATTTGATGTGCGATGCAGAGATCACGTAGAGCTCTTCTGAACAGAAGAGCTTTAGGGATCAGTGGAAGGAACCGCTTGTATAAGGTGTCTCTGTCTTTAGTTTTCGTCCTTTGGGGGCTTGTCTTCCTTTTCAGCTTATGGTTCAGTCGTGGACATGGATACAAAGGTAACCTCTTTACTGAATATTATTAGGTTCTTCTGTTGGCTCCCCTCAGAACCTGTTACGGAGTGTTTGAAATGATTTCTCAAGCGCTAATGTGTTGGATCAACTTTTTTTGTTGGGTTGCAATACCTCTTCTGATGCTCGGAATAATTCAGAATCTATGGCCTCACTTAATCTTGTTTACCTGAAAATTAGCTCGTTGTTACAGAACATATCAATCTTTCGTTTCTATTTTCCTTTGTTTGGGTCAACGATTCAGCATAACAGTTTATATGTTGTGGTGTTGTGAGCTACATTCTGCTTCTGTTGTTTAATTGGTTAGCTATGATCTTGGTTGTGATTGACTGAGAATACTGTTTCAGTTTCTGGTGTTTCTTTGCTTAAAATTTTAAGGCACGTCTTGAAAAAAGCTGTTGAAAAAACAGATTTTTGTTGAATATAGTGTGCAAATACAGTGTTGCTTAGGAACTCTTTAATAGACTCTGTCAACTTAGTAGAGGTTCTATGGGTTCAAAATTATGTGCAGAAGTGGTATGTTGTTAATTGCCAAATGATAAATCTCCGTAATAGTTTTGCATTTGAGAAAGAGTGAGCAAGAATGGGTTTGAAAATAAAATATCTTATGTTGCACAAGGTTGGAACTTTCAATTTTTGCAAATATCGGGAGCAAGTCTATTTTTATTCTGATCAAATAGGTAATGCACATGGTTAGTTTAATCAAAGAAATTGTTGCCAAGCTCGTTTGCTCTTCCATAAAGACAATGAAGTCTTGGGTTTGAAACCCCATTTCCCCTTAACTTCAGTATTTTTGTGCTAAAGGAAATGTTGTGGAAGGTTTATGCATATTGCAATTGCATGAATATTCCTGAGATTAAGATGGCTTGCAGTGTTAGCAAGCTTTGAAATATTCTTAGCGAAATTGTAGCTGAAAATGTCTCTGATAAAATCATAAATGGACTATTTTTTACCTCCCTTTGTGAACAAGTGAGTTCATTAAAGAATTATTGCCTGCAGTTTTTTAATTTAAGGCATAGCCTGAATGCCATGTTGATTTTATAGAGACAAAACCAGAACATTATTTTGTGTCATTGGCAGTGCTATAGATTAAAATAAGAGAGTGACTCTTATGGCCTTGTATTGATCTTACTTATTTTTGTTTTTATTTATACTTTTGATATTATATATGGTCATGCATGCTTATGAGTTTTTTTTTTTCCTATTTTTCTGTTTGTGTAGATGGATCCACTGTATCTCCAGTTGGTATATCAACTTGGGATGAAGCTAAGCTGGATCGTGATGAACACTATGATATACAAAAAGAATCTGATTTGGGCTACTCTTCTGGAGGTGAGTGCACAAATGGGGTTGAAACCGGTGGTTTAAATGGTGAGTTCTTTGCTATGGAAGGAAGTAAACAGCATGCCTCTGCTGAAGGAAGTAGACAGCAAGATTTAGCTGAAGGAAGTCTACATCATGCCTCAACTGAAGGAAGTATCTTTCATGACTCAGCTGTGGATGAGCAACCTGAGGTGGTGACTGCTGGTTCAGGTGTAAAACTTGAAAATGATGCTCCAAAGAATGGTCGGTTGCCTCGTGCTGTGCCTCTTGGTCTTGATGAATTCAAGAGCAAAACATTTAGTTCCAAAAGTAAATCTGGAAATGGTCAGGCTGGAGGCATAAAACATAGAGTGGAGCCTGGTGGTGCAGAGTACAATTATGCGTCAGCTGCAAAGGGAGCCAAGGTCTTGGCTTTCAACAAGGAAGCTAAGGGTGCCTCTAATATCTTAGGCAAAGACAAAGACAAGTACCTTCGCAATCCATGTTCTGCAGAAGGAAAGTTTGTCGATATAGAGCTTTCTGAAGAAACCTTGGTAGATACAATTGAAATAGCTAATCTTGAGCACTATTCGTCTAATTTAAAAGATTTTGAGGTGCTCGGCAGTTTGACTTATCCAACAAATGAATGGGTCTTTCTTGGGAATGTTACTGCTGCAAATAATAAACTTGTACAAAGGTTTGTTCTTCAGCAACCCAAGTGGGTGAGATATATAAAGTTGAAACTTTTGAGCCATTATGGTTCAGAATTCTACTGCACACTTAGTATTATTGAACTTTATGGAGTCGATGCTGTTGAGCGAATGCTTGAGGATTTGATTTCTGTTGAAAGCAGTTCGTTTGTTTCTGAGGGAGCAACAGTTGACCAGAAACCTGTACCCTCACACCCGGACTCCCCTGAGGTTGATGAATTTTTTCATGATATTGTTAAAGAATCGGAACCCCAATATGCAGCTGGAGTGTCTAATGTGAATAATGATATGATGAATAGTGAAGTGCCTGATCCTGTCAAAGAAGTTCGTCATCAACAAGTTAATAGGATGCCTGGGGACACAGTTCTGAAAATTTTAATGCAGAAAGTTCGTTCATTAGATTTCAGTTTATCAGTTCTGGAGCGATACCTGGAGGAATCAACTTCAAAATATGGCAGTATTTTTGGAGAATTTGACAAGGATTTGGGAGAGAAAGGTACGGATTTACAGAAGATCAGAGAAGACATAAGGAATCTCGTTCAAAGCCAGGAAGTCATTGTATGTGAAATTCTACGTCATAGAATTTTGACTATTATTAGATTTGTTATGCTTCTTGTTAATAATGGTATTGTCTGTCTTTTTTGGTAGTATTATGCATTTTACTTTTCTAATGGTTTGTTGTCCTTGCAGGCTAAAGATGTTCACAATCTTATATCTTGGCAGTCCCTAGTTACCATGCAATTGAATAATCTAGTCAGGGACAATGCTATCCTCAGGTCAGATTTTTTTTCTTGAATATTTTGTTTGTGAATCCGTGCAGTGTTGAGTTGACAGAGTAACGGTTTTATTTAAAAAATTAAAAGCCAAAAGTACAAAAATGAACAAGAAGTCCACCAGTACTGTCAAGAAAGTACAGAATCAGCCTTACGCTGAAAGACATACAACAAGAATGATCTTCAATCTGATAAAAGAAAAGAAAAGGAATACTCTTTAAGCTCGAAAGCACTAGATGCCCACAAGGAAGCCCAAAAACAAACCTTATCCTATAAACAGTCCAATTCATTACCAGACGAATCCTCAGAAATCCTCTTGTTTCGCCCTGCCCATAAAACCCACAAAGACTGCCATTATAGCACCTCCTTAAAGTTAACACAAAAATAAAAGGAAAGAAAATTCCGAAAACTGTGTTTTGAATCGGTAAATATTTTTAGACATTAAACAGTAATTTTTTTTGGTTTGAATTTAAGTAAATATTTAGTGTGAATTAGTCAAGTGTGAAAATTATTTTAGTGAATTATTTTTTAAGCAAGTTAATTTATATATAAGTGGTAGGAAACCTTGTGCTTGTTTTTCAATTGTGTTTTTCACCAAATCTATGCAAGGGGAAGCAAATATAAAAAAACAGATATTATTGCAGATGAGGTGTACTTTAAGGAATAAGGATTCTTAGTTTGGTTTCATCTACTTGTTTTTGCTAGCGAACGATGTGTGTAGGTGGTTGTATAATTTGAACCTAATAAAAGTTGTTATTGACCTTGCAGATCTGAGGTTGAAAAGGTGAGGGAGAAGCAGATATCTGTAGATAATAAGGGTATCTTAATATTTCTTATATGCATAATATTTTCTTTGTTAGCTCTTGTGAGGCTTTTCACAGAAATGGCGGTTAGTGTTTATATGGTATTGAGTGTTGATAGAGCAACAGAAAAGCCGAGGAAATTTTGTTGGATGAGTTCTTCCTGGCTTTTTTTACTTGTGAGCTGTATCCTTGTCCTGTTTATATTATCATTATAATCTTGGAGCTTTTTGGCTTTCTTGTGGTAATCGCTTTTACTTTTTTGTTGACGCATCCAACATTCCATTTGATTCTGTTGGTGGGAGTGGTCTATGAGTTATGATTTGTTGGTGAACGTCGATTATCAACAATAACCCCGCACAGCTTTGCTTTTATGTTTCTTATGAATCACAGTTTGTATGTAACTCGTCGCGATTTATATTTTGAATTCGTGGGAAAGATAAGAAGGTAAAGAATTGCAAGCATGAGTTATAGGATTCCCCTCAGTCAAATAGTTTAATTGCAAAATGAATAGGGTTGTTTACATGATCAACTACATAGACACACAAAACTCTTTAAGAGGTGGAGTCCTATTATTTTATGAGGGAGGGACTCGTATTAGGGGGTATCAGTTTTGTTTGCGTGTCCAAACATGGGTTTAAGCCCTCTCTTATCATGCTGTCATAAATCCAAAGCTCTCTTTTTGTCGCCGTGCGCTCACTTTAATTTTGCCTCTTGACTCCTCTTTGATTTATTCTATCTTCTGTTGTGCGGAAATCACTTCCCCCAAAGTAAAGGGAGGGAGGAGGATTTTTCTTGTCATGCACCTTTTGGTTTGTACTTTTTTTTTATTTGTCAGATGGTTTGTACTAACAAGTAAGAAAAGAAGCGATTCTTGACTTTGGACAAGATGATGGCATGGGGGTCCTCCCATCTGTCTCTAATCTCCTATATGGATAGAGATGGGAAGTACCTTCCTACACACGGCAAACCCTTTCCCCAATCTGTTGTCCAGATGATAAGGAAATGAGCTCCATTTCCTTTTATTCAAAACTAATGAGAAGTAGAAATCGGTCTTGTAGCTCTAGTGGTTAAATTATCCTCACATATAATGCTAGAGTAACAAATCTCCTCCGCAAAATAGAAATATTTTTATATCAATTAGAAAGTGTCGTTCTTCATGATTGATGAAAGAAACATGGAAGGCTTTGGATTATATAGCAATGCACGAAGAATGTCCGATATCCATGATTGTTGGCATGGCATCACCAACTTATTATTGACAATGTAATGATTATATTCTTTAGAAACTAATTACCAATCCTTTTCTATTGTATGAATCAAATTGATTATACATATACGTAATCAATAAAATTTCAAAGATAGGGGACATGGGGTCGTTCTATCAGAGAGTTAGTCTTTTCTAATCGCTCTAAGCGGGAAGGAAGTAGCTAATTTTGTAGTTGATGGCTAATTCTTGGGTCCTAGTTTCTTTCTGACCGTCTTGTGCTAGTTTGGAGGGTAAGCCTTATGTGTAACTCAACTCGCCTAATCTATTATTATCCTTCTACATGTATGTAAATCTCAAAATTCAAACTCATCCAATGGTAATAAATATAGTGGTGAGGATTATCACTATTTGAAGGTGGTGAGCGAAAATGCACCTCACATTTTCAAGTTTCATCTAAGGGTAATGCTAAGGAGACCAAATTTCTAAACCAAATAATGTAGACGTTGATGAGTGGATTATTACTTAAGTGTTGATTAACGTGCTTATTTTCTATTGGTAACACATCATTTGATTTGCAAATTAGGTTTAAAATTTTGATCTCCCTAGCATTACCCTTCATCCAATAGTAAAAGGATGACCACGAGACAGACTGTAAACTCAAAATCTCTAAATTTGAATCTTTCACATGCACCAAAGCATTTGAGTTTATCTACTACGTGCTATTTTTTGAATGATTGCCCATATTCAGAGCCCATAATTTTAGATAACTAAGGAATCAAATTCAGAATTCCGAGTGTTAGAGTGAGTTTTATTTGATGTTTCGAACCTTTTTTCACCAAAAAGGAGTGAAAGTGGGCGGTGGAATTTTCCAAGTTACCTAAAGAAAAAAAGATAAAAAAAGAAAGAAGTAATTGTGCCTAGCTCAAGAGATGATAATTAAAAATAAAAGTCAAGTTTCATAGGAGAGCGAGGTAAATACAATTTTTTTTTAATTTATTACTCTTAAAGAGAGGGGGATAGTTTGAAACTATTACAATAATTTAGGAGAGATAGGAGTTTCAAACTCGAAACATATGGAAGAAAACGCAACACTTCATTCACTTGAATATTGGACCATATGCAAGAACATATGAATTCGATATTGCATTGTTTTGGTTGTCTTAGGTTAATTAATTACTTGTTCACTGAATCACTGCATCTATTACTTAGTTTACTTGGTTTATTATATTAATTGGACAGTGTGAATTGATATACTTGGAGACCCTTGTTATCTGCAACCATAATAAACACGTTCTATACACATGATAGCTCGTACTCTTTTTTTCGAAGAATATTGATAAAAGTTATCATAAAATTGATTGACAATATAAGAGTAACTCAACGTCCTTAAAATTTACAAAACTTTTGGATGATTGACTGTAAAAATAATTGGCCGGCAGCAACAATGACTGTAAAAGTTCACAACAAATTTGGATGATTAACTGTCTAATTAATGTCTAGTCGTTTTAAAGGATAGCGCGAAGGTGGCGAACACTGCACTTGGTCACGCAGCATTTAAGTGGGGGGATTCTAACACCTCATATTATGCTGGTGTGTGTCGAGTGTTTTCCTGGGTCGTGTCCTTACACACTCGTATATATACATCTATATAAGCTTTTCCATATGTACAACCCTTTACCAAAGAATGACTTTTATGAGCAGCAAGGAATAACCATCAGTTTAAGTTATGAATCAATCTGTAAAATATGCGCATTATTCATAACATTACTAGCTACCTAGTGAGTGTGATTAATTGTGACTAGTACTTGTGGAAGAATATATATATATATATATATATATATATAGAGAGAGAGAGAGAGAGAGAGAGAGAGAGAGAGAGAGAGAGAGAGAGAGAGAGACAGTGGAGAGAGAGAGTGATCTAGAATCCAGAGATGAAACCTCCTCTCAGCAACAAGAAGCCGAATTCTTTGTTGTCGTCGTCTTCCTATTCTGTTTTGCTTCTAGCTTTTGTGGTGCCATTTTTTGTGATATCAGTGCTGGTTTGCAGTTTGGGCGTCACGAGTTCGCTTTCGTGGTCATGGGGATTCGGCAACGTATTGGAGACTGAAGACTATTCTTCTTCTTCATCAGCTTTCTCTGCAACTGCAACACCACCAAGGCCTCCTCAGGTTCTTAAAGCCGCTAAACAAGGTCATAACAACACTTCTTCCTCAAAATCAAATGAAACAGTTGTCCCTCGTCAAAATATCGTAAGATTTCTTTGTACTTTGTCTTTCTTTTTATTACAAGCGACACTACTACTCTAAGCTAGACTAAGAGGAGTGAAAGGGTCTGAACTCTAAACCCGAGATGCAATGGGTTGAAGAGAAAGCTCTATCCACCACCACTGGCAATTAATGTCTTTCTTCAAGCTCACACGAATTTCCTGTTTATCTAACGGCACTAATTGAATGTACCGCAGGGAGAAAAACAAGGGATGGTGTGGATTACAGAATCTGATGAAATTAATGGGACATCGGCTATAATAACTAGTACATCAATAAAGAGATATAGCAGGTTGGAGAAACTTGAAGCAAATTTGGCCGGAGTCCGGGCTTCCATAAGAGAAGCTGCTCGAGTCCGAAATCTAACTTCTACCCATGAAGATCCAGACTATGTTCCTCGTGGACCAATTTACAGGAATGCAAATGCTTTTCACAGGTACGTATAATCTTAATAATTATTCCATATATAATCTCTACCTCTCTTTGTAATGGTACTAATAAATAATTAGGTAAAACTTCCACAAATACTCTGTGAACTATTAGGGGTGTGCGTAAATATATACCATCTAAACTAAAAATCTTGTCAATATGACAAATGATACTCTTATCACATATTTGTACATCTCTCTAATAGAGATGAGACATACATGTGTTGGTGGCCCTATTTCTATTAGAGAAATACTACAAATTTATGTTAAGTGTAACATTATGTTGTCAATCTATCAGTTAAACTTGTGTTTTAGAGTGAATGTTCCACCTCCATTTTTAGTTAAAAAATTTTAGTTCAAACATTTTCATGTGCAACACATTTGAGTCTTTTTCAAGGCTATTTTTACCAATTAAAAGACCCATAGATGGCTTAAGATAAAAATGTATTTGATTAAAGTTCGTGGGTGGGACAATATATTATGCGTCCTTGAAAGACAAGCTGTGTTTAATGAAATTCTTATCACAAGTTGTCTAGGGCTAATGAATTGGTGCGTGAAAAAGTGCTCACGCGCACAACACATAGCCGTTTTGATGTAATTTTTGACGGATATTGACAGAGATGGTACATTTACACTAAATGTGGAGTTTGTATGGTAAATTGGCAAGACTTCGAATTTTGGAGACATTTGCACACACCTTTAATAGTCCATGGGGTGTTTGTGCAAATTTCTCTAATGTTTATGACGAAGTATTATTGTCTAGACTACACTGCTGACTACTTGTATTAAAAAATTGATCCGCAAGATGATCACTGATGAAATATGGTACAAATAGTTTTATTATCATCTAACTATATCTGTATCACTGCAGGAGTTACTTGAAGATGGAAAAGCACTTCAAGATATATGTATACGAAGAAGGAGAGCCACCAATATTTCACAACGGTCCATGCAAAAGCATATATTCGACAGAAGGGAGATTTATTCATGAAATGGAAATGGAGAATATTTACAGAACAAGAGATCCAGATCAGGCCCTCGTTTATTTTCTTCCCTTCAGCGTGGTGATGCTGGTGCAGTACCTGTACGTGGCCGACTCCCACGACACTCAGCCCATCGGGCGAGCTGTCGTCGACTATGTCAATGTCATTTCGGATAAGCATCCCTTTTGGAATCGAAGTCTTGGTGCTGATCACTTTATGCTTTCTTGTCATGATTGGGTAACAACAAATCTTATATGTTCCTCCCAACCTTTTCCCTCTCTTTTTTTGTTCTTTTTCTTTCCATTTCTGATTGTCTCTACATTTTTGTAAAATATAGTCCAATATATATTAGTGATCACTTGATTAATTTAGTGATAATTATTTGCACTTTTGGTGACAACTTAAACTTTTGTGTATAATAGTTGTACAACATGATATTATCCCTTTTTTTTTCATGTCTAACCCTTTTTTTATGCCAACATGTGTCTAACTCTTTATCTACGGATGAGATTGCACATGAGGGTTGATGTTCGCTTGATATATTGTTGGTCTCGTTCCCTAGCTTACAGTGTAAAATAATGGTACCAAACTAGTTAGTTATGAATTGATTTTGTCTATGTACACATACAGGGGCCGAGCACATCTGCATATGTTCCTCATTTATACCAAAACTCCATAAGAGTACTATGCAACGCAAACACATCCGAAGGATTCAACCCTTCAAAAGATGTCTCATTTCCAGAAATCCATCTCCGAACGGGGGAAACCAAGGGACTTCTCGGTGGTCTCTCCCCATCCCGAAGGTCGATTCTTGCCTTCTTCGCAGGCCGGCTTCATGGCCACATAAGGTACCTGCTTCTAAACGAATGGAAAGAAAAAGATCAAGACGTGCAAGTTTACGACCAACTCCCCAACGGTGTATCCTATGAATCAATGTTGAAGAAGAGCAGGTTCTGCTTGTGCCCTAGCGGTTACGAAGTGGCAAGTCCGAGAGTGGTGGAAGCCATATACGCAGAGTGTGTTCCGGTGTTGATTTCGGACAGCTATGTCCCACCGTTCAGCGATGTTCTGGAGTGGAAGTCGTTTTCTGTGCAAGTGCAAGTGAAGGACATACCAAACATCAAAAGGATACTGATGGGAATATCACAAAGTCAGTACTTGAGAATGCAGAGGAGAGTGAAGCAGGTGCAGAGGCATTTTGTGGTGAATGGACCTTCCAAGAGATTCGATGTTTTCCATATGATTGTTCACTCCATTTGGCTCAGGAGGTTGAATATCCGCATTGAGGATGAACGAGTTGAGTAGAATCTTTTTACTTCAGTCCTATATATTACATGCATGGTAGTATGGTACATGGCATGGGACCATAACAATTTTTCGCTTTTCCAATTGGGGCAAAGTAGAATAAAAATAATAAATATATATGTAATAAATATATATAAGAAGTAGGATTCTCTCCCCTTCTATTTCCATCTCATTCCCTTCCTTCCTCTCACATATTGCTTTGTCTTATTGTCTCTATAAAAAAAATCAATATAAGATGTTAACGTGGCTAAACCGTAACCGTTCAAATAGGAGGGGAGGGAAAGGGAGAGAGATTAGGAGGGGAGAGAATCCTCCTCCGATTCATAAAGTTACATCTCTAAGACCATTTACAACACATGGGATAAAACTTAAAATATAAGCTTTAGAACCACTCCAAACCATCTCCAACTATTGGGCTAAAATAAGCCCTGAGGAGAAAATATATCTTTAGGCTATTCTCCTCAGGATATAAGTTTGATTTAAATTATTCTGGACCCACAAAATTGATTTATTTCAAACCTTTTATTTTTTATTTTTTACTATAATCTAACGGCTATGATCAAATGAGATCAAATCTAGTGGTAAAAAAATATTTGGCGGCCCAAAATTAATTCTAACGTCTAAACTTTGTAAGTACCTATTTATTTGTGTGATTTTTTATTACTTATCGGAATTTAAATATTTTTAGATTATAATGTTCATAAAAATAAATTAGGATAATCTACTTAAATTTTATTTTCAAAAAAGTTACTGAAAAAAAATTAGGCTAAAAATATTATTTAATAATCTTGAGCTAAAATTTTAAGCCAAAAAGAGTTGGAGAAGAAAAACAATTTATGGGTTATAGCTTTAATTTTTAAGCTTTATCCCCAAAGGTTGGAGATGATGTAAGACGATTAGTTTCTTACTTTATTCTTGCAAACATCAGATTTTTAATTATCACTTTGCTTACTAACGTATAAATAGAGGTGCAACCAGGGACGGAATTTGGAATTTTCTATTGGGTGGGTTGTAACTGTAAGCTACACAACAAGTCAAAACGCTTCTTAATATTGTTTTTCACATATGCAACTAAATATGTGTACACAAATATGTTTGGACATAAATAAAAGGGTATTGCTATTGACATTTCAAAAAGTTAGTATGAACTTCAAATTTCCTCAACTTTGTAACAAAAACACAATTGTGAGGAGTGCACTACGAATTTTTAGAGTGATAATGACAACACCCAAGTAAAACTATTATGGATAAAATTCGACAAACGAAATTTTTTCGTTAAATACAATAGCTTCCCGTGTTAGTGGGTAAAGTTACTCAGGTCATCTCCAATGGTATTTCCTATATTTAACCCTCATCCTTAAATATAGCACACTAAAAATATAGTATTGAAAAGAATGTGTCGGATTATAATTTGTCATCTCCAATGGTGCAGAGACTATTTTGTTCCTCTCAACATTTAATTACTTTTTAGCATATTGAGGCATATTATGGTACAAAACTCACACATCAACTATTATGTATTATTTATACAGTAATACTTTATAAAATAATAACCTCCTTAAATTCATAAAAAAATTCATATCCCAACTTGGTACCAATTATGTATAAGAATAAACTTCACACTTCACATCGTAATAAATAATTTTTATAATCATGTCTTAAGGAAACACACATTCGCATAGTAATAGTTGTGAATGGGTATAACGATATGGAATATGACAAATAAAAGTTTAAGATGGACTAAAATATTTCTTTAAAGTTGTTTGGAACAACGCTTTAGTTTTTAGAATTGATGTGCTTTTGAGTTTGCATGTACGTAATATTTCGTCAATATTGACACCATCTTGTTGAAGCCAAAATGTTTCTTACTTCTCCAACATGTTTATAGCTCCTTATCATGAAACTTTTGGTATTTCCATACTGTCATTTCAAGAATCCTTTTCAGAAAATAGAACACTCATTAAGGATATAAATATATAAGTCAACAAATAATATTTTTTTAACTACATCTCTATCAAGCGTTACCTCCCTAAAGTTATAAAATTGGTTTGGTCCCAACTTACTTTCTTGAGGTTTTACTCTATTAATTAAACTATTATTACACTTATCTAATTATTTTATGGGACAATTTTATTAAGATGTATATCAACAAATATTTCGGATATGACACGTGTAAGGTTGTAAACCAATTAGCGAGATTTGTGTTGAGGTGGAACCAATTAGCCGTATTTTTAATAGGAAAACTAATAAAAATAACTTGAAAACTTTGAGTTTTAATCAAAATGACAAAAATGTGTTGTAAGTGAATAGTACCAAGAGTGACTTTTTAGAGTAAAAGTGTCTTTAACGTTAAAAGTGAACAGTATCAGGAGTGTTTCATTAAGACTCCCATTTTTAATACCTATTTTTACGTTTTTTAAAATAAAATAGAACAAACGATCTAACAGCTAGTTGACGTCAACCTGTCTTTTTACTTGGATTGTTGGATGTACTCAAGTGCTTGATCTTGTGTTCTAGCAAGTGCGATGTATTTTAACTTTGAGAATGTTGCCCCATTAGCATTTCTCTAAACTAGCTAAAGAGACGAGATCATATATCAGTGCAAACATGCCTGCAAGAATAGACATACTTAACAGACATCGAGTTAACATCTCGAAGGGGTGTGCTACCCCTAAAGGACGATTGGTCATCCTTATTGGATGGCCTGGTACACCGACGGATAACCAATCAACCTATCAATGGTCTAACGCGCAACATATCACTTGATTTGTATGATCAATTCCTTATAAGAGGAAGAATAAGGTACAAAATGAATCCATATTCGATCGTTGTATCAATTATTTTCATCTCATGAAATTAATCTGGATTACTCTCGAGAATTGAAATTCTTGGTCCAATATACTAGTTTGGGGGCAATATATGAAATTAGAGTGAGATTATCATTGATGATGTTTCAATTATATGGTTGCTACCAATATAAATGAAAAACGACGATATCAAACTACATTTCGTTGATTAATGATGACGTAGAACTGATTGACCAACTAAAATTATAATACAAGTTGAAATTAGATTCCTTATCAAAGTGTGTTTGGACCCAACTAAAATTACAATCCAGGTTGAATTAGGTTCCTTATCAAAGTTTGTTTGGATATGTCGTTCCTACGTTGCCCAATGTAATCATGTTGTATTATAAGTGGGAAATGAAGTGTAATGAGATAAATGAAATAGTGCAATGGAACACACGCCTTATGGCGCAAGGTTTCTCTTAAACGTCCTGTGATTGATTGCAGCATATGAATTGGTTATAGCATTTCTCCATGAGAATATTGATATGGAGATTTACATGTAAGTTCTCAAAAAGTTACATGAACTGATTCAACTTGTTTAGACCACGGAACACCTTTCAACTCGTTTGAGGAGTTCACTTTACGGATTGAAACAATTCGAACGGATGTGGTATACCTGTCTAAGTGATTATTTAATCATTCAAGGATATGAATAAACTATGGTGGCGTGTTAAATTAAAACGTCATACTCCGAATTGCTAAAGTTACAACTTATGTCAATAACATGAATCTCGCATAGACTCTAGAAGAGTTTGAGAAAACTACCTCGAACCTGAAAAAGGAATTTGAGATGAATGATCTTGGGAAAAGTCGTTTGTGTCTTAGTCCATTAGTCGAACCATATCCAAAAGGTGTTACTTTTGAGTACACCCATGATCATCCATGCGTTGGACGCAAATAAGACCTTGAAGAGTTTGTGGAACTCGAAGTTCCATATCTAAGTTCAACTTTCGCTTTGATGTATACAACTCATTGCATTAAACAAGACATCTTCTTCGTTGTTGATCTGCTGGTAAAGCTACAGTATTGCGCCTACACTTAGCCATTGAATTGGCACTAAAGACATTTTTCCGCTCCCTTGAAGGTACTAGGGATTTAGGCTTATTTGTATGCATCTCGAGCAAATTGAACCCCCATGATCCTCGTAATGAATCTTGCCTTGTTTGTTGTGTTGACACTGGTTACTTATCAAACCCACACAAGACAAACTCCGAAATGGTTATGCCTTTAACGTTAGAGATACTACAACTTTCTGGAGGTTCAGGTGTAGACCTTAGTTGTGAATCTTTGAATCTTTCCAAGACTCACCGCACCTCACAAAGCTACACGTGAAAGACATGGTTCAAAGCTCTTGTTGAGCATATTCGAAGTACATACGATTTTTTCGCCCATCAATGAGTCCCAACGACAATATATGGAGACAATGCCACATGAATCAACCACAACAATACATGATACATCAACAAAGTCAACACCAAGCACATTGCACTCTCATCACATCAGTAAAGCATCACAAGATTGAAGTCAAGCAATTCGATCCCATGAGAACCTTGCCAACCTCTTCACGAAGTCACTGCCGAAGTTTACCTTCTAGAAGCTTATCCAATGAATTAGTATGCATAACTATCTCATTTGCAGTGCTTGTAGTTCTCACTTGGAAGTTATGCCAAACTCAGGGAGAGTATCCAAAAATATACTCACTTGACCTTAATGTACTTTTTTCCTTAAAATTAGAAGCAATTTTCCCACTGGATTTTTGCTACCTGACTAGGTTTTAGCGAGGCATTATCCTAAGCTAGTCATACCCTTGTGTGCAAGGGTGCATGTTTTACTTGCGTCTTGAAGGCGTTTAGTTTTAACTTAGTGCAACTTCTCACTTTTCCCCTTACACTATGAGTTTTATCCCACCTTAGGTTTTAACATAGTCAGGTTTTGTGGTTTTACCACATATGCTTTCTCCTGATTGTTTTTTAGACTCGCATTCGGCTTTCGCTCATTGTGTTGACTAGATGAAGGGATTTCATCAAGTGCTTCTGCGTTTGCCTAAAGAACTGATGTTTCTACTTGAGTATTTCCACTCAAAGGGTAGTGTTGTGAATATATTTTATGTGATATTATTGTGCAAATCCCTAGTAGGCTTGGTATAGAATTCTATGAGACCTAGAAGATCTGTTTGGAGATGGATTGTTTGCCCTCCCATTTCCATACTCTTCTCATCCTCTGCTGTTTTGTATGGTCACGGTTAAGCCACGTCAACATTATTTTATTAT